TCAACAAATACTTATCGTACTTTTACATCACTTAGCTTACTATATGTACGAGTAAGCGAACATTACATATGAAACCTTCGTAAGTAATATACATAGTACAAAAACTGCATCGATCATTTACACACAGATGGAGCTATAGGTACGTAGTCGATTGTAATACGTGTCAAGTACATACATATACATTGAAAGTTGAACGCAGTTTTGGAGTATTTCTGGTGCATGTAGGTGTCGCTAGTGAGCAGGGAGGCGGTCCTGCGGACAACCTTTACCATCGTAGCAAACACATTTGAAAAGTACGCAGGCTCCAGCAGTTGCACCTTCTTTTGTGCATGCCTTGTTGCAGTTTGGACTCCACAAGCATGTACCCTGCCAGGTGCTACTATACGACCAATCACGGCATCCTACAAACCCGCTATCTGCGTTGTGCAAGAAACATATATAGTCATATTTGAAGATCGAAATAAAAGAAAAAGGAGAAAAAGGGTCGATGGAGTTTACTAGAGATTTTTCTGTGCACTCATGTGATGTTACCATTTTACTCAAATTATAACACATGTATTTATTTTCTTGTTAATGCACTATGGAAGTAAGACATATATATTAACTATGTCTTCCATCTGTATTATAGCACGTGGAATATTACATTACATGACAACTGTTTCCGGTACATGTAGAAACTCCTTCTTTCTTACCTACAACTGCAAAGACGATGAACATAACAAAAAGCACAGAAAGACAGATTGACTTTGAAGTCTTAGCCATCTTCTTCCTCAGTTTTTCAGTAATTAGTAAGTAAAATTGAAATTGGATGGCACAACTTGTTGAGTTATAGGGTGCTGTATATATGCTTTTCTTGCAAGGGGGGGGATAAGTTAGGGCTTCTGTTATAAAGTTAGGGTTTTCAACTGAGGTCCACTAATTTCTCCGTGTGGCAGGTCAGCAAACCTTTACCCATTTAGGTATAAATAACATGTACAGTTGGATAGGAACAACAACTACAACAGAAACAATGCTAAAATACACATCTTCTCATACAATCATGCCTATGTTAAGTTATCTTTAGATGGTTCGTTAATTCAGAGTTTTGGGGGTTGGAAACTCTGGACTTTCAAGTAGGTAAGTTCGTTGGGTCGTGTATGTACCTGAGGTATATATAGCTATATTTCGGTTCTCTTCTTTTCTTTTCTTTTCTTTTTTTTTTTTTTTTTTTTTTTTTTTTTGTGAACAAACGATAGCGGGGTTTTATCTCATAATGGACTAGTAATAATGTGGTTTGAATTCACATGGGCGAGAATCAAACTGAATACTTCTCACTTACAAATAAAGATGAATACCACAAAACTGTAGTACTAAGTGATATTTCAGTTCTCTTCTTAAACTTCGATGCCTAAAAAATTGTCCTCTAACGAAACTTTCAAAAACGACACCCAAATATGGAAGCATAATATCACAACATTCATCATAGGACTAGCCAAATTTCCCAAATATATCATTTATTTTCGCAAAGCTGATCCAATCCAACTTTTCTCAAAACGGATGTTGGAGCTATCAGATTTGGACAAAAATCACATATTTTAGAAATTAAGCCCAAGAACTTTGACAGGATGCCAGAATCTAACCCTAAAACTTCTACTACTACCAAACTGGACTTATCAAGTGACAATGGGACGTGAATGAAGAAAGAGATGATGAAAAAGAAAAAGGAAAAAAAAGCTTTATTAGGGTTTTCAAGGGCTTCTGATGCGATTGACTATATGCCAACGCCACTACTTCCAATTTCGAATACCCCTCCTATGCGCCCAAACCTATTTTCACTCTCTTCTTTCTCCCATAAACCCTAACTTTTATTCTCTTACAAAATGGCAATCCATTATACTACTTGATTGGTAGGCGACACTAAAGGTCGTAGGCATCGTGACAAGGTTATAAACTATATTGTTATTACTGGATGGAGATACATTATTTTACTCATTTGGATATTGCTACAGAGATCATCTATTTAAACAATACTTTGTAATCCATATGACATAGTGGTTGATGATTAAATTATTACTTAAATGTTGATTAACGTGTTTATTTTTTTAATAGTGACACATCACATAATTTGTAAATTTAGCCTAAAAAGTTAGTCTATCTAACGTTACTTTATCTCTTTATATTAATTCTTTATAGTATTTAGAAAGCTTGTATGTTGGCTTAATTATGTCCCTTATTTTCTGTAAAGATTTAAACTTTGTAGTTATGTATTACTTTCCTATCATCATCCTCTCCCGTTTCCCTCCCCCTTCCTGTACCCTCTAAATTTCAAGAGCTTCATGTGGTCATGTCTTCCATGGCACTTTGCAAACATCGATATTTGGGCAATGTGGGATTGATGACCCATATCACCTTCGAACTCTCTTTTGTGAATGGACCCAGGTCGAGAATGATTGAGAAGGCAAGATGTGTGTGTTGGGGGACCATTGGACCGCACCAGACTCAGAAGTCATCTGTGCTTTTCGTTCTTTTCGTTTTTTCGTTCGATTTCTCCAAGGTACCACATCTTAACTTCATCACAGTTGTTCATATTAATTTTCTCTTTAACAAGAAAAATGAGAAATTAGAGAAGTATATTATTCTGTGAGACGAAAACTAACTGTAAAATCATAGTCATAAATTTGCTCAAAGTACTATTATAAATTAGGTGAATTTTTAAAATTACATCAACATGCCATATGGTCTTTCAAGTAATAAGATCATGCATGTGATATTTTTGTAGAATGACATTTTTGTAATAACGAGAATAATAAGAGCAAGGAGAATCGAACTAGAATATTGTGCATGATTAATTGCATTTAACCTCTTCAAGTACAAATCTTTTACGTTTAAATGGGGATGAAGCCGTTTACGGGTAGTTTTCGTTTTATTTGCATGAGATGGGGAGTGCAAGTGCACTATTTTATATGGCTATTTTAAATGATCTAGCTTAGCTAGCAAGAAAATTTAGGATCAAACCCCACGTTCATGGGCAACGGTGGGTTTCACGGGATAGAAATGAAGTATGATTACCTCTCAATGACTCGTACGTACTTGTTTTTTACTGCATGACTGAAGCATCCTCCTTTACATTCAATCCAAGTTTTTACAACCGATGAAGGGAAAAGCAAACAAATTACGAGAAACTAGAAGAGACGGAAGAACAAGAACTTTAACATCAAGAGTTGGTTGAGTTGATAAAGACCGTTCTCTTCGCTAGATAAAGTTCTAAGTTTGAGTTCCGCTGTCTGCAATCTCGCTTGGTGGTGATCTAGAAAACCCAAAAAAAAAAGGCTAAAAAACCCCTTTTGTAAGTAGACTTGTGATATGTCCTTATCCTTCTATGGGGTAGCCTCCGGTTGAGGAATTGTGGTGATAAAGAAACCGTAGCTATGGGAATATGTTTATTGTTAATGATATTATTTTTATATCCCATGTGCCTTGCTAGAATATTTTTATTTTTATTATTTTCTGATATGCCTTTTTAAAATTATTTATTAAAATGAATATATTAATAAAAATACTTGGAGCATACTTAAAGATCAAAGTTGTATTTTTTAATATGAGCAATATTTGTAAAAAAATTCAAACTTTTGAAACATCTGGTGTAAAAGAGAATACTCTTAATCCGCTCAACAAGCATTTGGGAGTGAACATCATTTTTTTTTTTAAATTCTTGTCCCACCCAGTTAGGCTTTATTCAGTCTTATCGTGATTAACCTATGCCCATTGGTTGGTTTTTATTGTATTTAATCATGATCTTCATCCATGTTACTCTAGAGCCCCACTAGCAATTTCACAAATAGACAACAGCTAACTAGTATCTCATCCATTTCGACCAAAAAAAAAAAAAAAACAAACTAGTATCTCATCCATATGGAAACAAAATAAACAAGAGCAAATTGCCCCACAAAAACAAAAGATTTAATATACATATACGATCACCAACGACTTTGCTAGATATTTGGAAGACCCCCAACCGATTTCTTTGAAATTTGCTTAATTGTGTGGGTCAACATATTCAACAGCATGAAGGCGTTGGAAGAAAAATGCACCCACACGTTATAACTCACAAGTCCCATCGTAAATATTATAAACTCGTTTAGAGGTGATTTTAAAATGATTAAAAATGATTTTAAATAAAATGTTATTAGATTCTAAAAGCATTTAAAAGTGTTTTTTCAAGATTTGATTTCATTTTTACTAAGGTTGGTAAAAAAAAATATTTTCACCAAAAACACTTTGAGCAATTTTAAAAACACTTTCAAATAAATCTCATAACATTCGGTCCTTCCCCAGGTCCCGACTCACAAAAGGTCTCCCTCCCCATGCTTTTTTCTTGGGTTCTTACCTTAGTGAACAAAAAGTACATTTATAAGATGGTATAGTTGATAATTTGTTTTATACGCCCTAAAGTTTTTTAATGGTAGTAGGAAAATATTCTCACCATTCATAATGTAATACAAAATAAGTTTTCAAAAGTTGTGGTCACTTTCAAATCACATGGACATCAAATAAACTCGAGACTTGTTAGTTGGAAAATTCAAACCCGAAATATTTGAACTGATGACTCATCTTAAAAAATTGATTATGCAACAATGTACGACATGTAATTACTCTCAATTGTTGAATTTGGACTTTTTCGTCGTGCACTTACTCATAATCGTTGAATTTGAACTATTTTCCTTGATATATGGAAAACCGTTGTTTTTTTACAAGAAGCGATGAAGTGGTATTTCATTGAACTTCACAAATAATTACAGAGGTGCCAATCGGGTACATAAGCTCCAGTGATTAAAAAATTGATGTGAAGTAAATTTGTGCAATAAAACAAACTACAGTAAACTTCTATACGGCTACCACAAACACTGCCCTATCCTATCATACAACACGTTACCAGTACAAATTTGTAACAAAAATAATAAACACAACAGGTCCACACCGATAACTACATTTTTTTTTTTTTAACGAAAGATAGAAATATATTAAAGACGAATAGAAAGGTTTACATCCTTAGCAAGGAAATTAAACAGAAATTCAGGGCCAATACAATCCCAAGAGAAAGAACGTCCCTCCTTGAATACATACTTAGCCACCGAGTGAGCAGCACGGTTGCCCTCTCTAGGCACAAAAGCAAAAGAGACAGACCTCAGCTTTTGCGCTAGAATCTCAATGTCATCAAGAATGCATTCGATACTAAAATCAACCAAGATTTCTTTCTTCAACATCATAATAATCGTACTTGCGTCAGATTCAATGATAATGTCATCAAACCCATGGTCTATGCAAGACAATAAGGCAAACCTGATGGCAGAAGCTTCAGCAGCAGCTGCACTGTGGCTGAATCCAGTCCCAGACCCGCCAGCAGCCTGGAGTAAACCAGCGAAATCCCGCCCCAGCCAGCCCACCCCCATACGCAGAGTATCTTTACACCAAGCCGCATCAGTATTTATCTTAATAGTTCCAAACCTTGGTCTCTTCCACTTGGTACATATACGATCACTGACCATGATAGTCTTCGGCATCCTCAAGCTGTGATCTTCTTGATCCGGAGCCAGACTGACCTTGTACATACACCGATAACTACATAAGTCATCGCACAAGTGCTAGACAACGTAAAGTCACCGCCGTTTAATTTGCAATGTATGCCACAAAACAAAACGACGTATAAGAGAAAGTGATGTTTTTTTACCTATTGTGCAATGCATGTGGCAGAGGAATAAGATTTTCATATGTTCGTCCGTTTTTGCCTTGCCTGATTAGACATTTATGGATCTCCACATTACTCATCTCTAAGGTCCTTTTCACTTCCCTTTTGGTCTTTTTCTTGCCAATTGCCAACAACATCATGCAGTCACGCACAAGATTCTTGCCCTGTTTTTTACCTCCATTATTTTATTTCCCCACTTGAAGAATCTTTCCTCTTTCAATTTTATTTCTGTTTTTTGGTTATTGTTATTTTTTCCACCTTTACAAACTGATTATTTTATTTAATAAATATGATATTCTTTGGTGTTGTGATAGCGGATAGATTTTTCAGTGTGATCGTTGACGAAGTGGTACATCATACATTCTTATATAAATGGTGAGTTATGTATGTTAAAAGATTAATAACTTAAAAATTAAAATTTTTCACCACTCGCATAAAAACATGTAGTGTAATATTTGTATTCCCGTCACAAATAAAAATTTCTCGTGATAGTGATGGCTTGTCATACGTTTTTTGGATTGCAGGAACTCAGGTTTTTTTTTTCTGGATTTCCTTGACACATGTTCATCTTCTTCTTATGTGGTGTCTTCTGCTTTCTGGGTTGTCATCAGAAAATTCAGACTAGATTCAAGAAATCATAATCCAATTGTGCTTTTGGAATTCTTTGTTGTTGGGTTCTGAGTTTCAGGATTCAAATTCCAAATATGTGAGTTTTATGCAGTCTCTCTCTCTCTCTCTCTCTCTCTCTCTCTTCTTCTTCTTTTTTTATATCATCATCTGCAGGCCTTCTGCAGGCTTTGGAATTTTGGATTATACGTTGTTTTATTCTGTGAAATATGGGCTAAAAAGAGACACCTTTATTAGTTTTCTGATTGAATTTTATTTGCAGTGGGACAACTATATGACATGCTTGCCTTCTCGGAGTCTTCTACTTTCTGAATTTGGAATTTGGGTTCGTGGATGATTGCTTCTTTCAATAAATTCCGGATTAATTTTGTGAAAGTTGGGTAAGTTTTTCTTCTCACAATTCACATGCAATCCTTACCGAATTTGATTCTGGTCACTTTTTTCATTACATAATTTGTGTATATTTTTTTTTTGGTTATGTAGATTTTCATGTGTCCTGGACATCTTTGAATTCAGCTGGTGCAACAACTCTGCATAAAAAGCCTTCGAATTTCATATGCTGGAATGATTGTCCTTCTGGTTTTGTGCAAATTGTCTCTGAATTGAAAAGGGTTCGTGCTGAATTTTTGGTGTCAGATGGATTTTTATGTTCTTGGGATGATTTGAAATTCTGGGATTTCTCGATTTAATCTTAAATGGACGTGCCTCCTTACTGTAAGAATTTCAGAGTTCTCGGTTGCCATTTGAATTCGTTCGCATGCAAATGCGTTGTTTTAGCTTTGACTGCTCTGATTATTAGAGCTGTTCTGCTTCCTACATTCTCCATCTCTGATGGAACTGAACAGGACAACTTGGTATTCATCAGTAATCTCTCGTTGTCATTCGGTCAGAAATCTGGAATCCGAAAAGATAAATTTTTGGAGGTTCCTCAAATCGTATGGGGATTAAACAATCAGAAAATAGCGTTCGCAAGAGCTTGTCTGACCGCAAAGTTTTTGAACCGGACGCTTTTGATGCCTAGCTTGAGTGCTTCCCTGTTTTACAAGGAAGTTGAGCTATTGGAACCGATTCCCTTTGATAAGGTCTTCCAGTTCAACAAGTTTAATTCTCTCTGCAATGGATTCGTTCAATTGGGTGAATTTACGGATGTTAGAAACCGAACAGCAGCATTTGAGCTTCAGAAAGGAAGTGGAAGGAGGTGGACTCCCGACAGGGACATGGATCAGTTGAAACACCATAATGAGGATCCATACAGTGAGTATGAGGTGATTCGAATTGTTGGAAGGAATCCGTTTCTGTGGCACGATCATTGGCCCGTGAAGGACTACGCGAAAATCTTTGAGTGCTTGGTTTTGGTTGATGAAATAATGAACGAAGCGGAGAAAGTTTTGTCAAGGATTAGAGAGATGGGAGCAGCACAAGTAAAAAGCCAGAGTGAGTCTGCGCAAAATGGCATTAGCCCGGCAGAGAATTCTCTCGTGCAGCCGGTGCCTTATGTGGCTGTACATATGCGGATAGAGATAGATTGGATGATTCACTGTAAGAAGCTGGAGCAAAGATCAAATAACCCAAATTTGTAGTAGCAAGGAGGAGATCATGGAAAGAGTAGGCAACATTGTAGGCCTCAAAACGCCCGTCGTTGTTTATTTAGCTATAGCTGACAGTCTTCTTCATGATCCATCTATTCTGAACGGCTGGAAGTCGGGCTTGATTCCTTTCGAGAAGAAGAAATTGGGAGTTGAAGGGAATTACAAGAAGTTCCCTTATCTCATTCAGTCTGCAATCGACTACGAAGTGTGCTTGAGGGCTGATGTCTTCGTGGGAAACAGTTTCTCCACATTTTCAAATCTCATAGTTCTCGATCGAACGCAGAAGCTCATTAGAACGGGCGTCACAAGCTCATGTGGTGTGGATGTAAGGTGGCCTTCTTATGCATACAACATATTAGGGGAATCAAACGGACCTCAAAGATGGATGGCAAACATGTCTAGCTCAAGTCTTCAACCAATTAGCTATGGCTCCAACGACATCTCGTGTCAAGTCTGATGATCATTTTATCATCAACGGACATACTTCAAGGCTCCACCACTTTTCGTAATCTAAATCATTCCGTCCCTCCGGCGCAAATTTGTTGGTATGGTTTCACAGATATTCTTTTCCCTTTCTGTAGAGAAAATTAATAGCTTAGAATGTTGAAGTAGCACTAAATTATGTACAGTTTGAACTGATGTAAACTTCAAATTTATGTCATAAATGTAGTTTTCATTCTATTGATTTTCTTCATCCTGAATCTTAATGAAATTGTTTGTGAACCCTTGATGTCCTTCTTATTGGATGTTTTCACGGTGCATTTTTATTCAACGCTCTATTTATTATCGTTAGATGAGTTTAAATTTTAAGATTTGTATCTGTCCATTACACATCTTAAAATTTAAACTCATTGGTGAGCAAAAATATTCATTGTTTTCACTAATGTTAGTGAATTTCTTCTCTTTCATGAATTCTTGTACAATATACAAACACTAATAAACTTCTTTTTTGGGAGAATTATTTAAGAAGAGCCTAATATTTTATTATGCTCGGGAATATATTATGCATCCTTAACTGAGAATTTAACAGTAAAAAACTTTGGTGTATTGAATACAGCGGAATATATTAGAAGTCTCGAGCAAAACATAAAATAAGAATATTGTACAGAAAAAGGTGTGAGCACTCACTTTGAGCTTTTGTCACATCATCTTTGTATTTATTTGAAAATCTTTGCTCATTCTGTTTCTTTTTGTTTGCTTGGAGTCGTTGGAGAAATTGGGTGACAGTCGTCAGTGGTTGTACCTCAATGCTTTAGGGTTTACTTGTTTTTATTAATTGTTGATTAGTGCTTAAGCTTCAGACGGTAAGATCTAATTCTCATTTTACTTTGGATATCAAATCTTCTGTATTTAAAATACATGCGATCTTTTTATGGTCCTAATAATTGATTGGTCCGTGTTTGTAAATTTAATTTCTCTTAACTTTGTTGTCATAAATTTAATAAGTGTCAATCAATGATTGAGGTTACAGAGAGGTCACACCCATTTTGGATGCAGAATATTTGATCTATTTACCTTGAGTTCATCAAGTTTTGGGGTGTTTGGGCACTTTTGCTTTATTAGGAGTCAACATATGCTTGCTTTTCTATTGAGTGCAATTAGGAGTGTAATTAGTCATAGTTTCTTTTCTTCTTTAACACGCTTTGTAAACTTGTAAAGTTTACTCCACTTTGGTATAGGAGCAATCCCTCTGAAAACCTCGGACTTTGTCCCGACTTTGCCCTTGCCCTTGCTTTTGCTTTTGCATCCGCGTTTGCAATAAAATTTTGTAGGCAATCTATTACGAAACTTTAGAATCGAGAGATTATAATTGCACGTTATGATCATGGAATGAATGCATTATTTGGGACTCGAATATTATATGAGTATGAAAAAATGCTAAATTCTGTTGCGAGTGACGACAGACCTAAGCATGGCTCTTCTCTTGTACCTAGAGCTTTTATCTCCTGCGCATCAAAGGAAAAAAAAAATCACAACCGTTCTTTCATGAAAAGAATGTGCGAGAGAGAATTTCCACTTGTATATAATAGTAAGAAGTTTAAAAATCCTAAACAATGTGAAGCCCAACGTCCCAATTTCGATTCTTGGTAGGTTTTGATTGAAGCCTCTTGAGCATGAAATTTGCATTAAACATATGGTGACGGTGACCTTGATTGAAACCCCTTTTATCCAAAGTGAAACGTCTCATGTCTTTCCCATTTACTTGTAAAACATACAAGACAGAGAGTTTCTATCATACAATAGGGGACAACTAAGCTCAATGAACACGAGTACGATGTAAATCGACACGATACAACTCGAGTTTGTATCGAGTTTGGTTTACATGTGGGTCGCCCGAACTCTGCTCGTTTAAAAAACAAGCCAAGCTTTGAGTTTTGATAAGTTCAAGTCTAGCTTGAGCATTCGCATGTTTGCCTTGTAAAACACGTAACTGATGTTATAAGACTTTTGCCTGGAACGAAGGATTATTTTTAGTAAACGCACCAAGCTTGAGCTTTGGTACGATTGGCTTGTAAAGCTCGCAATCAACTCATTTACATGAAATTTGCTCGGAATAAAAGATCATTTGACGAGTATTTACGGTGTTTTGAATCTCGGAGAGAGCATCTTAAATGGAAAACATTTATGTCGTTTCAATTCAATAACATCGTAAATGTTCAATTCAGTGTTTATTTCTTCATCTCCTTTTTTTTTTTTTTTTTTTGGTTCAAGAAGAAAGCTATCATCAAGTATATAGATACTTCCCCTTCTAGGTTTTACAAAAGGTACTTTTAATGGCCGCAAATCTTTGAACACATTGCTTACGAAACTAAAAAGGAAAAGAGGGCACATATATCTCCGGGGTGAATAGAGCGAGACACTCTTTACTCCTATCAAAAGGCATAGTCGGGTAGCTGTGCAGATAATTTTCCAAATCGGGAGTCCTTTAATTCACTGGATATATTCTTCATAGTAGTTATCACTTATCACGGACACAAACCTCTCGAGCCAAGGAAGCTGATGGAGATCTTTCATAGCATCTACATAAGAATCTGTACATCGCGGTGGGGACTGGTAAGGGGGATGGTCGCTTAAACTGAATCCCCCAGCTAGGAACCTCTGGATCAGCTCCAGCTGTGATCTCTCTTGGTCCGAGTACGCATCCATTATCATGGGCAACGAATTGAATGTTTCCCACGCCCATTGCTCGGATTCTTGCATAGACTGAGTGACCAAGTCTTCTGTGTTGTTATTGTTGTCTTCATCCCAGAAGGCACATTGACAAGTCTGTTGGCTATCCCGATATTCAGCACCACAAGAATAACAGAACTCATGCCCACACCTGAAAGTGAGAAACACGAAAAGCTTGGTAAATATTCAAGAACTTCAAAATGGAAAGGGAGGCATTGTGTTCTTACTCAAATAGTTACGCTATGACTCGACAAAACCAATAAACCTAGGCTTGATTTTCATCAGCTTTAATCATAGGAACATACTACTTTCTCCTACAGGTTCTCATTATACACCACTTTATCCAAACAGAAAGTTGGATATTGACAAAATGCTCAAGAAGTTTGAACCAGAGCACCAAGATGCTGCCACGCAAAAAAGAAAGCCAGAGTCATGAAACGATTAAGTAGTTTCCATCTAGTCCAACTGTTACTGACTTACAGTATCTGAGTTTAACTCTCTAACGCGTGTGTGCATACCCCAATAAGTGACCTACTCGCAACAGATGCTACTTCAAGTCTAATGAACCCAATTCCCATGAGCCATAAATTTTCTGAGAGCATAATAACAACAGACTACAATCTGAAGCTCAATCATTTTTGTAATAAGGATTATGCTCCTTCACAGGCAAGCGACAAGATACAAAGAAATTCAAACAAATTTTTTTCATGCGTCACAAAGCACATTGTCTGGCACATAAACACACATGAACATCTGGGGTACTCTATCATGTCTGATATATTCACTTCATAACTGAAAACAAAGATGTTCTGAGACTTATGTCCCGCAGTATGCCTTTTTTCTAGTTGATTCATCCAGGCTTTAGTTCTATATTGTCCACTTTAGACATGTTTGACATGTTCTGAAAAATATGGCATTCTCAACCCACTTAGTCAATGTTTATAGTTTTCCAATAGAATGCACAATATAATGAAAGTGATTCTTACCAGCACGTCATGTGGTAGCAACCTTGAGTGAGCTCAATCATCCTACGACACTGCTGGCAACGCCTCCAGCTGTTATTTTGTGCCAAGCGATGCAAGGTAATATCTGCAGCATCTCTCTCTTCCAGTGGGAGGTTTTGGAACTCCTCACAGCTCATAGAAGAATGCCAAGGAACCCCACAATCCACACATATGAACCTCTGACAAACTGGACATTCGACACAGCTGTTATCTGACTGACTTGATGAACTTGCCCTAGCTGACAAACATTCAAGGGGACCAAGCAGGGTGGAACAATTTGGAAATGGGCAGTACACTCTATCTGAGTGGAGAATATTCGCTTCTGCAAGGGATTTCTCCAATGACTCATAAGAAGTGAGTGGAAGAAAAGATTTGCACTCAGCAGTGGAGATGTAATACATACATTGCAGCTGAGGACATCTGATGGGAACTTGAGAGGATTGTACCTTCCCATCAACAAATGTCCTCATGCAATGAGTGCAGAACTTATGAGAACACTTCATGGTGATCATCATTGGGGATGGTTTATCATCGCAACAGATGGAACAATTTTCAAGTGATTCAACACCCTTAGCAGGAAAAGAGACAACTCCAATTGCCACTTGAGCTAATTTTGATGGCCGCTCAAGATCTACAGTGGGGACAAGTTTCAGGACAAAAGCTTCAAGATTACTGGCATGCTCTAGGATCCTTTGCCTCAGTGCTATTAAGATTGGAACTTCAAGTTTCTCCTCATGTGAAACCTGTCAGAAATTCAAGTCATTGGCATACATATTACAATAAAAAGATTTGAATAATTCAAAACTAGTGCTAGTGCTCAAATAACGAAACATGATGTAACCCTCGGGAGTTATCACTCAAAGTGTTGTTTTCTAAAACTCACCTAAAAAATTGTGTTGTTAAAAAGAGTATATAATTGATCCCGAAACAGAACTAATCCCCTTTTTAATTAATGAATTCAAGCAGCCACAAAGCGGAAATTGCAATGGATAATCAATCAATGAACTTATCAAAATAGGTCACCTGAATTCGAAATACAAGTTGTTGAAAATTACAAAATTATATTCTGAAGAACAGACAGAAAAAAGGACAGACAGGGCAGAAAAATGCTTAACAAAATTCTTGGTTTCATATATGATACGACTTCTAAAATGGTAGCCGAAACGAAGAAAGAACCATAACTTTTACACAGTGAAGAATTACCTGATCATGTAACAGCTCAGAATCTGTGAATGCATACACCCTACGGAATTTATTCTGCACAGCCTCCATTAGACCATCCATCAGGGCTAAATAGTCAGCCACAGGCTCCTCCACATAAAAATCAAGCCTTTTCTGCACCTGAATTGCACGAACATTGGTTGATCTTTCCATGACAACTCCGATTCCAGAAAGCCCACAACTGGCGTCCCCGTACCCAGCTATGGACATGCCTTTGAAGAACATTTTCACCGAAAATTCATCGAGATCATCTTTTGACTCATCCTTTGCCTCAACTTTCACTGGTTCTTCAATCTCCTTCCAAACTTCATCATCGTCTTCACAACAGCTCCGAAACTCTTCTTCGTCTTCCTCTCTAACTAAATTTAATGAAACCTCATCACCAGAAATTGCCTGACCCTCCATTTTATACAACAGCTCTGCAATCCTAAACTGAAAGATGCGATTATTTCTTAAATCCAATCACAATCAACCTACCAATCAATCTGGAGTTCTGTATTTTCAACAAAAATCTTCCAAATCACAAACAATTGTTGATATCAATCACTGATCCTTCAAGGCCTCTCTAAATAATCAAGCAAGAAAAACCCATCAAGGAATCGATCCAGAACTGCCAAGTGTAGCATCATCACCTAAAAATGCTACAAGGAAAAACCCATCAACCAATCGATTCTGCTCCAAATTCCAAATCGAAAACCCAGAAAAACCCATCAAGGAATTAATCCAAAAGAACCAAAATTGGATAATTGTTGGCTCATCCACATAAACAAAAATCAACCCAAGAAAAAAAGAACAATACTTTTCAATTCAATCCCTCCAAAACTGTACAAAAGTACAAAAATATTAAATAAACATAGAAAAATAGGAAAAGGGTATGATACTGGAAGGGAAACTGGGCAAGAAAGAAGTGAAGTTTCGAAATACCTTATCCGGAGGAGGGAACTAAAGTCTTTGGAATCAGATTCCTTTTTGGGGTCTGTATTCTGAGACGGTATCTTGTAATTGGCTAATTGCAGTAAGAGTATAATAAGAACCCTAATCTGACAAATTTCAACCTTTGATTTGGTGCCTCACCCACTAACAAGATGCCGTTTTTTATTCTTTTAGATGACAAATATTTGATTAATTACTTATTAGGATGGTGAGTGCTGAGAAAAGGAATCCTCAGACTTACCATTGCAGTGTTCTTGGCGTAAGAGAAAAGTCAGTGCCTTTGGCCCTTTGCTTTGGTCACATTCTCTTTCCTAAACACATAAACAATTCTCTTCGAATAATGTTAAGGAAACAAATTTACAAACTAAATGATATATCATCAATAAGAAATGAATATGCTTATCAATATCTAAATAATAATTTAATCATCAATTTTTATATCATTTAGTTTATAAAATTTAATCTCCATAGCATTACTCATTTTTTACATTCTCAAGAAGTATGCCTTTATTTTTAGGAAAACTACTGAAAATAGGTTGAAAATTTTGAGTTTTAATAATAAGGAAAAAATAAAAGGTAAAGTGAATGATGCTATAATTGACTTTTTAATGTAAAAATATGATTTTTCATTAAAATAAATAGTATCAGAACTTTTCGTTAAATTCTTTTTATTTTTTCCATATATTACCAAAAGAAAATTCCTTTGATTTTCATATCAATCACAAAGAGAAATTTAATTTATATTTCTATTTATATTATTCATAATGAGATTTCTTTGGTTAAGGACTAATGTGGACACGGTGACACGGTGGAAAGCAGTGTTGGAATATCAGAATCTTCACGAAGTGGCCGACGAAATACCTTGTTCTATATTTGAATTTTTATCAAGTGTTAGTTCGAATAACTAAGGTAACTCAAGTTCAAGACAAAATGGGTTAGATACTTAGATGAGATTTTAGCTAATCTTAGAATATGAAAAAACTTAGACAATTTATAGCTTGTAATGTTGTTTTTAAATTATGAATAATAGTGTATCGTTTCATTTTTCAATCTTATTTTTGTTTTAAAAAAAAATCGAAAATTTTATACCACTATGAATAAAAGTGTTATCGTTTAACAATAAGAAAAAAAGTTGTTATCGTTTAATACTATTTGTGAAAACTCTAAGCATTTTCTCAAAACAAAGTCTCTCTTATTCCATTGATTTATATGAATCATCTTCTTCCATTGCTTCATATGTATGAAAATGGGAGATATATTCTTGGGAGTAGAATTCTCTCCCCTCTTTTTCTCATCATATTCCCTCCCCTCCTCTCACATATTGTTTTTTTGTTTTATTGTCTCTATAAAAAAATAATATAAGATGTTGACGTGGTTTAACCGTAACCGTTCAAGTAGGAAGAGAGAAAAGGGGAGAGAATCCTCCTCCATATCCTTGAAGCTTTTTATTGTTTGGTGAAGGACACACTTCAATATCTCTACTAATTAATAAAACACTTGTTGTCAACCAAAATCCTATGAAATTATCAGTTTAACCCTCTAATTAAAACAGAACATGAATAAGAAATGTAATTTCACACAATCAAATTTTGCTGTTTTTTTTTTCAAATTCTCACCTACATATAATCCTAACATATCTCTAATTTAAAAAAAAAATAAAAATAAATAAATAAATAACTTCCCACTCTCATATTCTCTATCACTCTCTTCCTCTCTCCTTCTATTTCAAAAACAAAAGTAAAAAAATTTCTCACATATTTTGTGTGTGCACATATGCTAGTTTTGAATTACGTTAATTATTGAGGAAGAAGTCAAGGTAAGAGAGTTGTGCACTTTCAAAAATATAAGTGCAATTGTACGTGGCATTAAGTTGGCTTCCAGGAAATTCACTAACTGTACGATATACAAACAAGGCCCCTCCCTAGACAGTGCCATTCTGTTCTTAGTCAACGAATTCGTGGAACTTTGAAGAAAATATAAACACATTATCTGGGTTGGAAGAATCGATTGCAGTATGCACATGGTCCTTGTCTAGTTAGATGAAGAAAATGTGACCTTGTTCTTGACTATTTTTTCAACTTCCTGACAATGTATTTTTACATTAAACAATCCATGTTAAAAGTGGATTAAAAAAAATAAGACATCAATCATTAACAAACCCGATCTTGTTAAACGACATTAGTCAAACGTCTTTTTACTCTTAAACTTAAGAGATAATTAATTAATTGGAAATTCAAGGCGCTAAATTGTAGTTTTAGTGCGGCATGAGTGCTTAATCCAAATCATGACCAATTAATTAAACAAATTTTGGCAATTGTTTAGCACAAAATACAAATGGTGGCCATTATTTAGTGTATGAATGCAGTGTTTGTCTTAATTTGTACCTAATCACTTTCTTGTACAGCCTTGCACTTTACAGGCTGACAATCCTATCATCATCAATCATGGATAATCCTCATGTTGCTTTGATATTATTAGTTGGAATGGATATGTGTTTAAATTTATTGGTTGCGTAAGGTTTGGTGCAGGTAGGGTCGTTGGTGTGAAGAAATTAATAATATACTTAGAGAAGAAAGGAACTTGACTGTGTATATTATTGTCGTTGAACAATATTTATTTGAAATTTTCGAGTATGGAGTTATTTTTCTTTTATCGCAAATACATTTAGAAATGACTTTTGAAAAGCCTAAAAAATTAAAATTATATACAAATATGTCAAATTGTAATTTTATTGTAAAGAAAAAGAAGTTCTTAGATGTAAACAGTCAAACATTTTTCTCTAACGAAAAAAGACTACACAATTTTAATCTTTTATTAAAATCTAATATTTAGGTCATTCTATAAATTTCAATAACTGAATAGTGAAGTGCAAATCGTTCATCTGACTTGGGTGTAAGGGCAAAAGAATAATCGAACTGTCTAGTAGTTAGTTCTCTCAGAAGTTTCCCTCAGAATAGTTGGAGCTCGTGAACAAGTTCTATAGGGTAAAACTAATGATAAAGGCATCAGGGGTGCAAAGACCTCGACGTATTCTCAAACTTTAAATAAGTAGGACGACATGGCTGCTTCGTTGAATTGCGCCACGGAAGCAAGAGCTCCAAGTGGGCAATTTTTGATAAGCAGAACTGGCGATGCGAAATGAACCAGAAGTCGGGTTACAATGCCAAATTGCACGCTAACCTAGAATCCACAAAGAGTGTTGATCGATTAAGATAACAGGAGGGTGGTCATGGCAGTCGAAATTAAATTATGATATACACGATATACTAGAGCGTAATAAATTTTCGTGTATGTTGATAGGCAAATTTAAATTGTTCATTAAATATGGTTACAAATCATTTTTAATAGGGGAACATTAATCAAATACTTGAGAATACGCTTCTACTAAGAAGACATCAACTTATATACAAATTTGTAAAGTTGAATTTCCATACTCCATTTATTCAAGTTGGATTAAATATTTGGTTACAAATAACAAACTCCTTTGTGAATAAAAGTTCCATAAAGTTCATAGGAATTATTCGCGTCTTTACGCGTAATGTCCACAATAGTCAACGGTCCACTCATTTTATGTTCATCATTTGTCCTTGCAACTTTATATGTCAAAAATGGGTCCTGATGTTTTGACCAGTGCAACAACACGACAACGGATAGCAGTTAGGGGTTGGAAGGTTTGGTGTCCCCGTCCTGGAAGGTCAGTTTATGTTGGTTCATAGTTGACTTGGTTTTATTTCAATCTTTATCTTCAAGAGTAAACTGTCGATTTGCCCCCTAAACTTTCACCGAACTTTCGATTTCCCCCCTGAACTTTTCGATTGGAAAATTTCCCCCCTGAACTAATTTTTTTAGCCAATTTTCCCCCTACCGTTAGTTTTTCAAACATTCCATCCAAATTTCTGTTAAGTGAGACCATGTGCACAACATATGAGGGTAGTTAAGTCATTTCACTTTTAAAAATGATTAAAAAACTGAAAATAAATTTTAAAAAAAAAATTCCCTCTATTTTTTACCTCTACCGCCGATCTCCTTGTACCCACCATTACCACCTCCTCCCACCCCTGAGACCCATCAACCACCATATCCGGTCCTCCCCCTTCCCACACACAGAGACTCCTCCTTCCCCTCTCTATTTGTTATTCTACGAACAATGCAAGGAACAAAGAAAGTGGGAAGAGAGAGAGAGAGAGAGAGAGAGAGATTTGTGATGCAGGAAGAGGGTTGGGTCATTGGGGTAGCAGAGGGTGGGGCCAAATCAGGGAGTGGGGTTACGGTTGAGGGAGATGAGGGTAGGGGGAGGATGTCGTAGGGGTGGGGGTGATGGGGTGTGGAAAGGAAGTGGTGGTGGCTGGGGTTTTTGTATTTTTTTTTTCTTTTCTTCGATCTGTTTTTGTTTAATCATTTTTTTAATACTGTAAAATTACTAGAATGTTCATGCCATGAAGACAATAACACCGTATGTCATTTTTTATACATAGGAATGAGTGAAAAATAAAATTGAGGATATGAATTAGAGGGAAATTTTCAGTTTTTTAATCATTTTTAAGAGTGAAATGACTTAACTACCCTCATATGTTGTGCACATGGTCTCACTTAACAGAAATTTGGATGGAATGTTTGAAAAACTAACGGTAGGGGGCAAATTGGCTAAAAAAATTAGTTCAGGGGGGAAATTTTCCAATCGAAAAGTTCAGGGGGGAAATCGAAAGTTCGGTGAAAGTTTAGGGGGCAAATCGACAGTTTACTCTATCTTCAATTACTTTTGTAAGTTTTTTTTTTTTTAACAAACGATATTATTTACATTAAGAGGTGAGATAATGAGCTAAGTCTTATAATAAGTTAACAATAATGTGGTTCAAATTTGTTTATGTTGAGAATCGAACCTAAGTAAAGAGAAATGCTACTAGACCGCAATATTAAGAGCATTTCCACCCCTAAAAATCCCCTGGGCAATAATCAATTCAATCCACCCAAACAAATAGAAAGTTTCTGTAATAAGTCCAAGTGCATCTCCACCCCTAAAATGAATAGCCCAGACAATTCGTATTTTACAAAATAATTTTATTTTTAATTTTGAATAATAATAAAAGATTGCTTAAAAGTATTTGAAATATTGAAATGTAGTGTAGGGTGGAAGAACATGGTTACATACTTATAGTTATATTCTTAATTATTATTATTTTTATAATTTTTTTATTTTTTAAAAGAATTGATGTCAGCATTGCATCACATGATTTAGGGACTGGGCCAGGCAATTGTTGACTGGGGGACTAACTGGGCTCCCCCGGAGCCCAATAGATGTAACGGGCTGGTGACCAATTTTGGAGGGGAGAGGGGATTATGCCGCCTACGCCCTAGGGGATGCCCAGCAGCGGAACTGCTCCAAGTGGCTCTTTTATAAGCCTCAAGTTTAAAAAAATAAAAACATGTTTTTTTTTTTTTTTTTTTTTTTTTTTCACAGGGCACACTGATTCGGAGTAAATGGCAGACACAGTGACCCGATCAATGGGCATAACCTACATTACCTGCCGAGAGGTTTATTCCTGAAGGATGAAACTGGTAGAATAAAACCCTAACTAAGATGTAAGACCGCCTTGTTTTATATATTTTTCAAGGAATTCTAAGGATAAAGCCAAAAACTTGTGATGTGTCATATATATAAAGAGTTATAACAAAAGAATGAAAATCATCCAATTTTTTAGTGTTATTACAATTCTTGTGGAACTCCGCCGATGTAAGTTTATCTTACATTGCCGGTCCCAAGCCCGGATAAAGGAGGAGGGGGAGGGCGTCAGGTAGTCGACAGCCGGCACTCCACAGTTACGTCGAATCCTTATTACAATTCTTGTGGAACAAGGAATACAAGGTATCCTATCAAGGGTTTCATTCTATCACACCACCAACGGAGGTTTCAATCGTCAGAGGCAATGTTTTGGAAGCCGCAGCTTTGAGGCGGTACCGCTCTGCTCTGGAGCCAATGACTTGTCCTAGTACTGATGTGGCAATGGTAAATGCCATGGCTGATTTAGGCATGAGCACAGATTTCCGAAGTATGGCTATGAATGGCACAGCTGCATGCACAGCAGCGAACCAAGATAGTGAGAATTTTTTGGTGTGCTCTCTACATATCCCTAAAGGAACATTGGCTGCCATGCCCATTGATCCGATCACAAGTACTTTTGCCGGAAGGGGTTGTGGGCGGAGGTTCTTTGCAAATGCAGTTTGCGACAGGGCTGCTCGAGCAGCAACTATTGCTGGCGGGCACTTGAGTTTCATTCCTGGAGGGGGCTGCAAAACCTTTGCGACTAGTGGAATGACACTGCTAACAGCACGGTATGACTTTGCTATCGGACATCTTCCGGATTGCAGCCACTCATTACCCAATGCCTCGTGATTAGAATTTCCTCCCTTTGAAGTAGAATCTTTTTTCGAGGAATTAGATTTCCTTTGCTGTTTCTTCCATGCATCGAAACTGAATGGCCCTCCAGGACCAAAGACTGAGAGACAAATTGTAGCTGCCTTTGTAGCTAATGGATTAAACATGGGTGGTGGGGGCACAACTATGTCAAAAGAATGCGAAATCCCAAATTGTGCACTTGGTTCTTTAAGCACACTGTTAGAGACATATTTACGGTAGCCCCATATATATAGTATAGATTACTTGCACCTAAAGTTTCTATATTGTAATATTATAGTTTCCTACCACTTATAGGAAAACTCGAAAACTCCTCTGTAAATTGTTAGAGTATATAGAATGGATGATGAGGATTGTGCCACTTGTCAGTCATTGAGGATATAGATTACACAAGACTGTTATAAAGGTTGTTATGCTTAGGTTGTAGAGATAAGGTTGTTGTAATAAGATCTTACAAGATATAAGTGTAAGATTGTGTATTAATTCAACACAGAAAACTTCATCAAGGATTCAGTTTCTTCTTCTTCAAGCTTTCTCTCTTTTCTCTCTCAATAGCTCTCTGCATCTCTTCTTCTTCAAGCTTTCATCATGGAATTAAATCGAGAGTCCTATTTCTACATGGTACCGACCTTTGGTCCTAGGGTTTCCTGCCTCGTGTTTGCTTCTTTCCCATGGCTTCTTCTTTTCTTCCTCCGTTCCCGGCCGGCCCAAAAACTGCCGATTTTGTCAAACTATCCGACTCTAATACAAATGTTGGCCATTATTTAGTGTATGTATGCAGTGTATGCCTTTATACGTAATCACTTTCCTGGTTACAAAATGACAAAACTTCATTGTGAATAAAAGTCCCATGAAGTAGGAAACGTCTCTATTAGGCAAAGTAGTGAACTGTGGTGCATAGTTTGACAATGTGTGTGTGTGTGTGTGTGAGTGCGTGCGTGCATATATATAAAAGAGCATTTTATATCTCACCATGGTAACAACACAATAACGGACCAGTTGCGAGTCTCCGCTTCCTTCCTTGACGACTTCATAATTGTGGGAATGAAAATGGCCATGACCAGCACCCGCCGGAGCCATCTCCTGGTCTACCTAAACGGCAGCAACAGTAATATTATCTGGGTTAACTACTCCAGTTCTACATCTCCTGCTGTATATGCTGGTGGCCATGGAGTCCAACCCATCAGAGTCGCAATTGCAGACAACATGGCCACATAGCCTGAGAAAGGGAAATTGTGCCATGGATCTTCCTTCAGACAAATAGATTGCAACATTTCATATGAATCAGGCAAAACGTGCATGAAGCCAGTGGCAAGAATGATGCCACCTGTAAAGCACTTGACGATCAAAGAAGAGATTTCGATGGGGGTGCAAGGCCAGTAGGTAAGCTCACTCCAATCATTGTTTTTTTTTTTTTTTTTCACTCCAATCATCGTTGAGATATAAATGTTTTGCAGAATTTGGTGTTGAAGTTGTTTTAGATTTCGAATTCAATGTGACCACTTGGATCATATTTCAAGTGTGCATTTCAGATTCAATCTTAGTTAAGTGGTAGATTTTGACACTTGTAACTATCTCGCAGGATATATTACTTGAATGGTTGGATTTGGTTGATGTAAGAGAGAGAAACTCTCTTTCTCTCTCCTTGTAACAGTAATGTGTTCATCACACATTGTGTGTGAGCTGTGAATGAAGGAATCCAATTCTTGATTGTTCTCTCTGCAAGCATTCATTCATCTTTCCCAGAAATCCAAAACCTCACACTCTCAATCACAAAAAGAAATAAACTAACAAATTCACAAACTCTATCAATCATGCTTGTGACCAGAATTAAGACAAGGGCAATGATTTTGAGGGGCACAGCACCTGACTTGTCATTGCAGGAGGAGGTACTTTCAGTGCTGCACTCGTCCTCCTCAGACGGTGAATAAGCTTTGGCAGTGAGTATGGAGATAATTAGGATGAAGGAAATAATTGAGATGAGCTCTAAATGTGACTTGGCGGCAGCCATTAACAATACAAAAGTCAAGCTATTGGAGAATTGAAGTACCGGAGGTTAGGGTTTTATTCTTCATTAATATTATCTTTATGCAAACAAAGATGCAGGTAACAAGTTGCTTTCACATCGTTTGTATTGTTAGATATGGCTAAATATGTCCGTCCAGATGAAGATTTTTTTTAGTTACATTTCGTCAATTTGTAGCTGTTGGAGAGTCCATAATATGCTTTTATTAATTGGTTTTGACAGATCATCTTGGGAAGTTAATTTGTCCTTGCGAACAAGCCCACTTGAAGAAAAAAGAAAGGCAGAAGACAGTAGGAGGATTGGTAGGAACGATGTCTCAACCAGAAGCAAACAAATGACGCACATCTATACACCCTTTGGTTTTTATTTTGCTCGGATTTCATTTCCAATAACCAAGTGTTTTATATTTTGATGGTGTATAAATATTTAGAATTGTATTAAGTAAAACAAGAAGTCAAGCAACATGGCCTATTTTGTAAGCGAGTCCGTAAAGCTTGAGGGTGATTGTGTTTGGCTTGCGCTTCAAACTCAAGTGCACGTAACTATATATTTAAAGAGCAATTTGTTAGTGAAACTTGGCTATGTGGTGTTATTGTTTCACATAGTTATGTGTATTTGTTTGTTATTAGCATACCCTAGAAATATGACACATCAACTTTGTCGTTCACTCGTTCTAACACGTGAAATAATACATTGCATGATATATTTAAATTATAAGTTAATAGTGAGAATTTTAGAGATTCTCGTGGATTAATAATATAACATTATTATTAGTTAATAATTTGACTGGAGGCATGAGTAATGCCTAGTTCTTTTGGAGTTCAAATCCAAAAATATTATTTGTTGTAACAGAATACAAATTATAGTGGTTTATATATTGATGTACTAATTTGTACGATTTGGAGTAATTAGTTAATATTTACAAAGTTTAGAAATTCTCATCGATTGATATGTACTTCTTGTACCATTTGGAATATTTTATCCAAATCATTTTCCAAGAGAATTAGTCAATGATTTGATCGGAGGCTTGAGTAATGCCTAGATTTCTTTTTCTTTTTCGTTGACAAGTAGTAATGCCAAGTTAATTAAATTTGGGCAGTCTCTCTTTTTTCAATATCTGCTCTATGGATGGTAGAGATGTGCACGGGCCGAGCCAGGTTTTGGAGGAACCAGACGGAACCTATTTCAAAATAAAACAGGGTCGGACAAGACGAGATGGATTATCATATTTTCAAACATAAAACCGAACTTAATGCGGTGCATTTGAAACGGATCGGTTCCTACGGATTCATGGTCCAAGTGAAAAATCCTCAGGACATGTTACTGCTTCAGGTACATTTCGCTGCAGCCAAACAGATACGAAGCCCGATATCCTCAGGACAGATTACTATCCTATAATTGACGGAAAACACAGGCTAGCGTCTTCGTTTGTTGTTAATGAGAAAATATTCTTTGCGAGAGTTTGTCTCGTGCATGCTTCTCAACATGCATTGAAGATTTTTGTTGGAACACCCAAATTTTTATGCGTCTTCAATTTAAGAAACAATGCGAAGTAAATTTTTCCCTCAAATAAAACTAGTTTACACGTACGAATATAAGTGAGCCAGAAAGATTCAATAATTTATTTAAAATGTGAACTAATAGCATTCTGTAATTACTGAATTCTCTTAAATTCATTTGCTCATCAAACTTGAGGAGCTGGGCTATTTATTCCACTTGAGGTAATCACAATACAACAATGACAACTAACATAAAAAGATCTATATCGATTTGTGGAAACATATAACGAACATCAAATTTTCACAAACATTGAGGAAATTAACACGACCGGCTTAACACCAAAACACATAAAATAAGAACAATAGTATTTGCTTAATTTTCAGATGATCATGGCATGGCATGAATAGTCTTGTTAAGCCCACTTTGCCAATATAGACATGCCACCTGCACCCAAAAGAACTGCAATGTAAGATTTGATCTGGAGCTTAATGCTGCGTTGCAACTTTGGACCCATGAAGTCGGCAGCAAGAAGATCAACCAATGCCATGTAGATAAGAAGGCCAGCCGATGATGCATTAAGCAGTCCTACTGTGATTAGTGACTTTGGACTATTTTCTTTGTACGATTTTGTCATAGCCATTCCAATTGCAATTCCAAATGGGGTCGTTGTTGAGAAGAAGAACACCATTATGGCCTTCTTCATGAACTTGTACTCAGCCTGCATGCAATTGACCATGATGAGTAAATGATATATAGTTCATGAGCTAATCAATTAAGTTTGAATGAGGCTATTTACCTGTAGAATGCAACCGCCAAGACCCATGCCTTCAAACATTTGATGAAAGCAAAGCGCAGCTACAAGACCTTTAATTGTGCAGGTGTTGTTTGAAGCTCCAAGAGAAAGCCCTATAACAACTGAATGGACAATGATACCCAGTTCTAATACCTGCAAGAATACACACGTACGTACACCATCAATCACTTATAAATTGGTAAGATCGATCGAGTAATTAAAGCTGACTTGCTGTATACTAAATTAATTATCTGAGGTACTGTCAAGCTAATCAACTAGTTTATCAATACTCATATTAACAGTTTAACACTAAGTTTCCAAAAAATAAAAATAACAGTTTAACACTATTATATATAGCATGGTCTGCATATTATATTGCTACCCTGTTAATCTGAATCACAAATTCATTATACATTTTGTATTATGACACTATTAATCTGAATTACAAATTCAAATAAAAATTCATGTTGTCAATGACCATTTGATCTACTGACACTTAATTAGTCTCCAGAAGAAAGAGTTGAAAACATAAGTAAAAAAATATAAAATCCCTTCATCAAAACTTAGTCAACAATTTAACCTTTTGATAAGAAAACATTTTATTTCTTACCATGGCAACAACACGATAACGGGACAGCTGTTGCGAGTCTCCGTTTTCTCCCTTGTCAACAACATGGTTGTGTGCATGAAAATGGCCATGCCCAGCACCCACCACAGCCATCTCTTGGTCTACCTCCGGGGCTGGAGTTTCACCATTATCTGGGATAACTCCAGTTCTACATCTCCTACTGTATATGCTAGTGGCCATCCACCATTAAAGTCAGAATTGCAGACAACATAGCCACAAAGCCAGAAAAAGGGAACTTGTGCCATGGATTTTCTTTTAAACAACTAGATTGTAACATGGCATATGAATCAGGCAAAACGTGCATGAAACCAGTGGCAAGAATGATGCCACCTGCAAAGCACTTGACGATCACGAAGAGGTTTCGATCGGGGTGGAAGGCTGGTATGGAACGAGTGACAAGAGGGAAGCTCACTCCAATCATGCTTGTGACTAGAATTGATACAAGGGCTATGATTTTGAGGGGCACAGCACCTGACTTGTCATTGCAGGAGGAGGTGTTTTCAGTGCTGCACTCGTCCTCATCAGACTGTGAATAAGCTTTGGGGGTGAGGATGGAGATAATTAGGATGAAGAAAATAATTGGGATGAGCTTCAAATGTGACTTGGTGGCAGCCATTGACCCTGATTTTTAGCTCAAGTTATTATTGGTACTATTGGGTTTGAGTGTATTAGAGCTTGTTTATATAGAGAGGTCTCTGAGATTTATTATGCAATCAATAACATAAAATATTAGGGTGATAAGTTCAATGTTATACCTATTGGCCAAAAAAATAACAAACTCTATTTTATATTGTACCTATTTTATATACTTGTTGATTTGTCCAATATTTTTTTTTGCTGCGGACTTGTAAAAGGCTTTAAAAAATAGAAGTCGTTTGTATTGATGAATTGCAGTACGGAAATGTTTTATTCTTCATTGATATATTTATATATGCAACCATGCATGAAAGTAAGGAAGCTGGTTATTTTCAACATTATAATTTATATATATCAACAATATGTACAATTGGTAAAACTCCGTTGTCCGTCCAGATGAAGATATTTCAGTTAATATTTTGGCAGGTCAACCAATTACAAGCATAGTGTGTGCTATGATCTTTGTTGGGCTTCC